TAAGAATATAAGCTCTTCTAATCTAAAATGGATTTTTGAAACCACAATAATCCGCTATAAAAAATGTCGTTTTTCGCGTGCGTCGAAATAGATTTGGACAAACGCAGTTATATTTTGTCACCGAGCAATTTTATTGTTCCCTAGCGTGGCATGCACTTTTTTATGACGTATATACACCTCCTCGTCAATTTCTCTTTAGTAACGCCGAATGTAAACGAAGCAATAATAATAAAATTCAAATTAATACGAACAAACTGTATTTCCTGAAATGTGGTTTTCCACGTAATTATAAATATTATATACGCGATATTAAATCATAATTTACCTCAATTTATCCGAAAATTTATATGTAATTAAAGCAATAAAATCATTGCCTTTATTTTATATCGCAATTAAATTATGTTATAACTCTTGCGATTAATCATTTTTCGACGAAGCAATGTTGAGTGGTCTGCTAAAGTTTTCATTGGTTTATTATTTCATTGATTTATATCGAGAATTAAGCTATAAATTAAACGACCAATACGTTATAAAGATATGATGAAGTGCATGATATGCGATTTTTTTCATATTTCCATAATCCAATTTGCAAGTCTGCTAGACAGAAACATATGTCGGGATCGCATTACAAATTCCGGCTAGAATCGGAATCGAGTCTTGAAATAACCATTTCATTAATCTAAATCCAGCAAGCTGTCGCACATCACCGTGTGTGTTATTGCCAAAGTCAAAGCGTGCGAAAATTTATTTCCGCATTCTATGTAACAAGTCACTAAATGCAACTGAATATATGTATATGCACTTTTCTTAACGTTAGATAACATAGAATGCGTGTGGTTACACGCTAGATATAAATTTGACGACCATATCCGACCATTGAAATTCAATATCCGATAATGAGATAAAATAATAAAATTTTCCTCCGAAAATAATGTAATTAATCTATTTTTAATCATATCACAATCTTAATTTATTCACGTTTCTTTTGAACTTAAGAAATATTCATTATATCAATTGTATAAAATCAAAAATATTTGATAAAACTGATGTGTGTATCTCGTTCCGATGTATAATAAAATTATAAGCAAAATTTATAATTATCTGTCCAGTATTCTAAACTAAAGAACTTTTACGATAATATGTCCTTTGCGAAAATATATTATCTCAAAACATTTCATATTTATAATTTAATGAAATATATTGCACAATCATGGGTAAAATCTCTGTCTTATACTTTGACTGCTTGGTTCATACTCGATCATTAAGATCGTATATTTCCGAGCTGTTATATACTGAGACAATTTAGTCCGATGTTTATTTGCACAGTCACTGCTATTATTCCAAATTACGACGCAAATCGTACAAACGTTTGCATACACACGGCTCGGCTATTTAAAGGCCGATATCGCATTTGAATTTACATCCGAGCACGTGTACCCCGATTTCGCGAAACGTTTGTATTGTGTAAAGGTCAATGTTCTCTAGGACCCTTCCCGCGCAATTCGATGAAGTATCTCGAAATATACCTGGCCTTTGCATCGCGACACGATTTAATATTAAGTTATTTGTCTAGTCTTATTCTTATCCTGCGGTACATTTAGATTCATGTCTGGTATGTTGGTCTCTACAAAGTGTATGACTACTACCAGGTGAAGAATTCTTCGCGCGTCCTGATTTGATGTATAATATATATCCTAAGATAGATACTCTTGCAATCTTTTCCTCCGTTTCTTATCGAAAGTTAAAAGAATATAATACTAAGAAAAGTATTAACAAAAATATATTTTGACAAAAATACTTGTTTCAAATATTATTAGTTTTATAAAATATTATTAGTTTTATAGTTCAATATAAAATTGAATTTTATGTACATATTAAAATATAATACTGAAATAATACTGTTAACATTAAATGTATACTAATATTAATCATTTATAATAATTTTCAAAATTGATAATTCAATTTTTTCTACGTATATTGCGCTTTAGAAAAGTGTTTTTTTTTTATTTTTATTGAATAAATAGAAAATGTATAAAAAATTTTACTTCGGGGTAAAAGCAATATAATTTTGCGAATATATATTTAAAAAAATCAATTTCAACTTAATAAAATATTTCAAAAATATTTATTTCAAAAATATTTAATTAGAAAACATTATTCAAAGTTCTTTTGTACACTCATTTCCTTCATTATAATGCGACTCACAAACACACAGAGGATATCGTTAACGATATTAATATTTATCTGCTCATGACACATATGTCATGATAAACCAGACATGAGATGTATCCTCTCGTGTATTTCGCCACTATTTTAAGCGCGATATATTGGCAAATATGCTGCGTAGCGATACTTGAATATTGTATCGCAATAATCCGAATTAAAATGTTTTATTAAGCGACTAGAGCTGCAGTAAGATACTTCGATTTTGTCTTACGATTTGAAGCAATATCGATATAGAATAAAATTACGACAGATGTAACTCAGAAGCTTTGATTATAAATAGTTTAACTAATTACGAAATAATACTTTGTATAACAGATAATCAACATTTGAGCAAATAATGATGTTTGAACAAAGAATTACTAGTTGCGTAATTTATAATCTGTATATTCAAAATTTTTACGACAAAATATACTATAATTTATTATAATTTTTTTAAGGATCTCCATTTTATTAAATCTAAACAAAGCAGAGAAGAGGAAATATATGACACATAAATAATATAAACATATATTATTTATGCTATCATATTAGTATATCAATTGTTAATGTGTAACAGACACAAATATGTTAATTGTGCATTTTTGTGTTTTTCCATATTCGCTTAAGAAAATTAGTTTAATTAAATATTTTTCATTTACTTGAATAGTTTTGTTTTACTTTTGTATTTTCAATTTTTATTTATGTTCGTGTCATATACTAAAAAACTTGTTTTATAATATAAATATATTATAACACAATAATATAAGCACACAACAGTAATATTACTTAATTAATATAATAAATTAATAAACGTAATGACAGGATTATTTGATAAATCTTGTATATATATCAAATGTTATTGTATATATATACATATGTTCACGCGTTCTCTCCGCGAATTTCTGCAATAAATATGATATTAAATTCAATTTGCTTTGCACCTCGTAAAAGCGAACTCGTTTGTAACGCCAACCACGTGTCGCAAAAAAATTTCCAGTCCCAGAGTATAAATCAGATTTAAATCGATTACTTCCAGCTGCAGCTGTCATCATTACATTGATACACATCGAATTTTTATTGATCGCGCATCGAAAGAACCAAAAATTTGGTACATTTACCGCGTTCTTCAAAAATAGCGGATATTTCCCATTCACAGATCCGTCCAGCAAGTTACGCATATATCCGCAAAACGTTCTCGTTAAACAAATGTTTGTCTAGTGGATGAAAAAGCCGGTAGTATATTTTCGAATAAAATGAAATATTGATCGGCGCATTTGCTGATTAAATACACAGGAGACCTCGTGCGAAAAAAAAAATAAAAAATAATCAGCGAGAGATAGAAAAACGAATGTTAACGATTAATTCATTATAAATGGATAGCAGTTATGACAATTCATTCATTCGTAAATGTCAAGACGTTAAATTGCAGAATGTTAGACGAATAATTGCTTTACCGAAACATTCTGAGAAAGTAAGAAGAAAGAAAACAAGGGCGAAGAAAGAGCTAAGAGCGTGCTTGAGAGCTAAAACCTTCGAGGAAGCTCTAGCTAGATGAGCTTTTAATTAAATTGAAAAGATGAGCTCTTAATGGAATATGAAGTCGCGCGTTTTATAAATTAACCGGTACTTGTACAAATTGTAAAATATCACCTTGTTTTTGCCACATATTAATGGTAAATTTCTTATTCATGACACAAACCTTTGCATACCGATTGCATAGTAATAAATTAGATATGGATTTATAATACATATTTCAGGTACTTTCTTCAAGATTTTTTTCGAATGATATGACAATTCTATATGAATGACATTATTATATAATTTTTTCCCCTTATGTTTATACCTCTTTATATATAGTAGAATAATAAAATATCTGATATTGGTATCATGAATATAATATATGAAGAAGCAAAATGAATGTTTGGTAATGCTGGAGCCAAGATATTTTTGCGCCATAAAACAAGAATCATCGCTATGTTTACGTTGCAATCTACACTTCGATACACTTCGTAGTATTGTTAGCACCTTCAGTTATCGCGCGAGCAAGAAGCCTTCAGTTGGCTCTTTAATTAGTGGTTCGATCGCGGGAGAGACGCAAGAAAACGAGCTTTGTGTGACAGGATAGCTATGCGAGCGCACGAACAGAGGCACAGAGGCAAACAATGTCGAATGACATCGACCCATCGGCGAGGAGAAGCGGAGAGAAACGGCGGGAGAGCTCAAAGCTCATCTATTATTGGCGCAAAACAGAAATAAAATGCAGTGCGACGGCCTGTGAAATCTAAAAGGCTGACGTGCTGCCAACTTTTGTTCTCTGTGGTTTTGGCTTCAATATTTTTCTTCAATTGTTGTTATAGTCCGCGCGTCGCCAAATTGCGCCACTTTTTCGTCACCGACTGCCATGTTTACAAATTTGAAAAAAAAAAAAAAAATAAATAAATAAATAAATAAATAAAAATAAAAATGTGCCGCCATATATAAACATATCATATTTTTCATTTATCATAATTTTATTATAAAATTTATATATATATTATATAAATAATATATATTTATTTGTTACATATTTATCTTCCACACTGCTTGTTTTAGACATTTAAGAATACGTTTGTGCTTAAGAAAAAATATATTAAATAATTTGTAATATATATTTTTTCCTTTTGTCTAAACATGTTAAAAATACGAATTAAAAATTACGCAACCAGCGTTTATTCATATTTTATCGGTTTCAAATTGTAAACACAAAAACAGAAGTCGCATTAATATCAATTGATAAACTCTCGTAAAAAACTTACCACAGTGATGGGGTAAACTGGATTGATAATTGTGAAGAGGAGGACGTGATTCGGCTTGTTATTGTCTTCTCTGAAACATTAATTGATTGACGTATTATTCCAGCGAACGCACAGATGACTTTATTGAAGTTCGCCTTAAGGCATAATGCGTGATCGCGTAAAATCGAACTTCCATCATTCATTCTCATTAATAGACGCTCCAATTATTTGAAAATTCAATTACGGAAGTCGAAAACGAGATCTCGATTATCGCTGAGTTCGCAAAAACTGCTACGAATAATAATTCATTCTTTGTCGACTACAGCACGGACGTTTTTGCTGACACAGGGCAAAAATTGCATTGATTGCTGAAACTAGAAATATTATCTCAATTCTCCGTACAAATTGAAAAAAAAATTAGTTTCAATGGACTATTCGCGCGATCCTCCATTAACACTATATCTATATTTTTAAATATCATATTTGCGAAGTGAAAATACTCCCGCTACAATTGAATGTTCGTTGCATTCAATTTTTTTATTTTTTCGATATTAGTAAGCAATCTCATTTTATACGGAATCACGCCGGCGTTTCATACAAGGACGTGAAAATGTTTCATACGCAAAGTATATAAAAATATTATGGGAAACGTGGATTGCACATGTGTATAACGTACAGGACAGAGAATTATGACGTCAAGAATGGAGTATCTCACATTCTGGAAAAAGCTGAAGGAAAAACGAAACGAAGTAATCTCCACTGGAGATTTGACGCGTTCACTTGTATATATGGAAGGCAACCAACCGGTGATGAACGCCAGCGCGATACATTTTTCACGGTTGATATTGGTATATACATTTTCTCTTCTTTCTCTCTTTCTTCTGTTTTTTTTTCTCTATTGTGACTTGCATCCAACACAAAAATCAATCGATATAATTCTTCCACGAGTATAATGGCGAGAATACCATTGCATCGGCTAATGGCATAGAATATCCAATCGCGAGGATCGATGCAAATTGAATTACCATACTCGCGATCATGTTATTTGAAGCTTGTTTATATCGAATTTTTGTATCACGATATGATTTATTAGGTAGCGGATCGCGAGATGGAAAAGTAAATGATAAACATGAATCGTCTTAATCTCAATAACTCCTTTTTCGATACTATAGAACAATTTTCTAACATTAATATTTGTATCAACAAAATTGTATATTTAGAATTAAAAATTTTAATTTTTCGAGCATTGAAATATAAGAAAAAATATATATTTTACTTTCAATAGGAAATGATGTAAACAAAATTGAAAATATGAAACTCACGAATAAGAGATAAATATCGTTTTATCTCTATCCCGTTTTCGATTCTTACCGATTATCTAACATTGATATCTACATTTGCGACCACACTGGCTTTGCCAGCTCGAATTTACCTTTCCAAAGAGTTATCACGAATCCGTGGAGCAGATATCATTCGCTATCGGGTTGCTCCGGTGCTAGATTGAATCACGCTTAATGCTCGACTTAACTTCTTATTATTAGACTTGGACTGTAGGACGACAGACGGGTCAAACTTCGATGAACTACGTCGTTTTAATTAATTTTCAACGTCGCGACGTACAGACCGGGTTTTGGTACTTATCGAGGATCCAATTCCACGCTCGAGTGTCTTTTTAATAGCGCGTCATTGATATATAAAAGCGTATCGGTACACAAATAGGAACTTCTATATATAGTTGGAACCAAAACTCCATATTTGCATTTCCATTGTAATTAAAGAACAAATATAATTGTATAAAATACGCAAATTAATATATAATAATAGTAAAAGTACTGTTAAATAACAAAGTACGATTTTTGTGCGCAAAGTCTTACTTTGTAAAAAAAGTTTAAATAAAATTTTAATATCTTTTAAATTATTTATGATATAAATAACAATTGCTCTGATATCGAATAACTTTATTGAGAATGATCGAGCACGCAAATTGCGTGCGATTGATTTTAATGGCTGTTTATGCAAAGTAATATGTTGAGACGCTCGAATGTCGCCATTAATTTGCACGAGTTTATTGTTCAATCAGATGCGTATCGCAAATATTAATAGGTCAAAAAAATGCAATATCACATGATTGATAGCATGTTGGAAAAATCAAGATGACATATTCTAGTAGTAACAATCATCAATCAGATAATCCTGTATAAAATTTTGCATAGTATCGATAAATTGTTTGGAACGATAAGATAGAAGTAATCGCGATCACTATATATATATATATATATATATATATATATATATATATAATTGTGTCCTGATAAAGATACAAGTATTATTATTCCTGTTTCATCAGTAACATACGTTTTTAATATCGACGTGGAATAATCGCATTATTACTTTCGAACACGTCGACGACTTTTAATTTACAAAAAAATATATAAATAATAAAAATAAAAATTCCCTTACCTTTTACGACGTGGCTCGTCTCCGTATCCGCCATATTCGTGATTCTGCAATCAGAAACAAACAGCATCGTTAATAATTTCCCTTGCAGATGATTAGATCGTGAAATTCGCGCGAATTAAACGTTTGTTAATGACTTTATCCGACTTGCATCATTTATTTGCAGCCATTCGCATGCGCAGGCTTGCGTGCTGTCGGCAAGTTCTCTCTCGAAAACGAGAGCTAGTTTACACTCGAAACTATACTCGTAAGTCGAGAGCACGGATTTCCTGAGCGGTGATTTCTCCTCGGGTGTTCCGCCAACCTCCTGCGGCAACACGTGTTACCGTCTTCCGTCGTGGGAAAATTGCGTAAGACAAATTCGCGCGGCGGTTTTGGCTGAATTTCGATGGTGCGCGGCGACGTCACCAGGGATGCGTGCTCGGTCAGTCTATTAATACGCGTGCACACACATCTTTTTACCACGGCACCCAAAGCGACGGAAATAGTGCAGCGAGACACCTTAGGGGCTGTGACGTATGGCTGCGTAGGTAAATTCTTGAGACCCAATCGAGATCGCATAATTAAATGGTGCAGGAGTAATAGAGCTTGCAATCTTCCGCGAGTTAGGAACTTAAAAGCGATTCATTTACAGATTATAGTTCATACACTGAAAACAAAATTATTGAATTTAAATTAATATTTATTACAATACTGCCTAATAAATCATATATTTCAAACTAATAATATTGATTTGATGTGAAAAATATGTATTTGATATAAGGAAATCCTTTTCAAAATAGATAAATATTTGTTTTAAATAAATGATATTTTTGGTAGTATTGAAATATTTATTAATTTAATAATTTTTTCAGTGTGTATAGTGAAATTAATTTTTAAAAATGATATGGATAGGTATATATAAGTTTTTTTTTTTTACAGGCTTCTACGCAGAAAGAATTTTCTCTTAGAATTTATCCTGAAAATCGTGGGACAATATGGTATTGGAAGAATTTCATAAGAATTTCTTTGATTAATATTTACCACAATAAAAAAATATATCTACCACAATAAAATATAAAATATTTTCGGTTAATTTTACTGCAGTAAAACTTACTATGTACATATTGTTCCACGACTACCATAATTTGCGGGTAAATTCTACGAGAAAATTCTTTTTGTGTATGCTTTCGACTAGTATTCTGGTAAGGAGATATAAAAATATATAAATTTATTCGTCGAATGGTATTCAATACGGAAGTATACCGATAAAAGGATTTGTAGTAAAATTATATATAGATGAGATTTATTTATTTTTCATCCGGTGCGACAAACGGTTCGTGTCATGGCTCGCCATTGTGCTCTCTATGTAATCCGCTTTGGGAAACCGAGTGCGAATGTCAATTCTCAAGCGTCTAGTCGCTTCATATCGCGTAATGTGCAACGGTGCTAGTGAATAAAACATGAAGCGCATTGGTACGTCGGAGTGACGTGTCGCTTGTCGTGACTAAATAATTCATTCATGTTTCCGCAATCGCGGAACGATAAGTGAAATACGAGTATTCACGCAGATTCAATTATCATTAAGTTTGTGTCCGATCACTCTGTAAATTTGATTTATATAATGCATTAAATCGACGATACAAACCGAGAGGATAACTCGTGAAGTGCATTTCTGAACATGTTTGTAATTAAACATTTATATTAATGAATTGAAATTCTTGATAGCTGCGTATGTATAAAGTTGTGAATTCGCGCTGTATAGATAAATATATGTACATCGACTGCATATAAGAAAATATTTGAATTTTTTAGTAAAATTAATTAAAAATTTTTTCACTCTCTTATCAAAGACTTTGTGGATGAAGAAAGATGCGACTCTCTTTTAAATGGATTTAAAAAAATTATTAATAAATAATTTTCCAATGTACAATATATATTATGTAATAATATATATTGTACACAGTATTAGTTCAAAATACAACGCATAAGAAGATATAATCAAAGGCAGACGAGGAAAACGCGTGACGGAACTCGTAATCTGTGGATGTGCGTTGCTAATGATCCGAAATTAGCCTGAATGGCAAAGGTAACAAAGGCGCTGCCATTTGATTTTGCGCTCAAGCTGAGACGTTCAAGTCACATCACCCTAGTAAAGTATCTTCTTGTTGAATAATAAAGTCGTAATGCGGTGGGGTCAACGAGCATTTTATTCTTTCTGTTAAGAGACTCTGCAGAAGCGTCGAACATACATATTTATTATCATTCGTAAAAGTTTAATGTAGTCATGCACACACGGATATAAAGTACCCTCTACTGACAAAAAAGAAATTTAAACAAACAAAAAGTTGATATAATTTTTTTTAATTCTTCCCTCCCCGTCATTTTTATTATTGTTATTATATTATTAACATGTATTTATTATCTGATTAATATCAAAGGATCTTGAAATGTTTGCTCCAATATTTCTCTGAATATAATAAGTTATAATGTGTGAATACAAGGGTTTAATAAATATCTATTCTCATTGCTAAGTAATAATTATGAATGTCGAATATGAATAAAAAAATGAGCCATATCAATAAAATATTTCATCTCTAGTATCATTAATAAAAAATCATATTGAGAAGAGAGAAGAGATTTATTCTGGAGACAACATTAATCGAATGCATGTCACCGCGCATTTTCGGATTCATTTTTCCAATTCATTTTGCATTTGCTTTCCATCTGACCTGACACATTCGCGTACACAAACGAATTAAGACAGTTACTTTCAGTAGACACTGAAATTCTGTAATAACACGGGAAGGGAAACATTTAGCCCGAATGATACACATCCACCGTTACGCGGACTTACGAGCGAGAAATTCGAGTGCCGTGTCCTAATGATTTATCGCCGGCGATCGCTCGTTAATTCTTCGTCGCCGCAGCGTCGCGTCCGTGACTTGCGAAATGCGGCTGAACGGTCGTCGAAAAAAGTAAAATAAAAAAATTTACAATGAGAGAGTGGCAAAGAATCCGCTCTCGGCGGACAGCCAAAGCGTAAAGCGTCCCGAGAGGTTGGGAGATTTGCGGAATATCCGACGCGCCGCGTCCAAGATCTCCATCGTCACGTATATATTATAACTCACGCATAGTATCGCCGTTACGAGGCGAATACCGTGCGGATCCGTCACATATGTTCTTATAAACATAACTGTGCACACTGGCGCGCGACCAACCACGTGCTTTCGCGCTCAATGGGTGCTCAACCCGTGCTTTGGTTATTAAAAAAAATAAAAAAAAAAAGATTGCTGGACCGCTTACGCGAAATCATAGGCCATGTGGTCGTTCTCGAGGAGACAGACGATGACAAAAGGCTTTTACAAAATTTTACAATATGCTTTCGTATTTTGATATAATGTATGTCAGAGGCAAAAAAAAGTTAGTCTTATAAAACTGTAAAAATAAAAAAAGATATAGGTGTACGCGAAGATACTAAAAACAGAATGGAAAAAGATGACATAAAATATTCAATTTAATTGTCCAACAATATACGTCAGTCAGTTATATTGAAAATGAGAATCGGAGCAAAGTAGCTGCGTTCTGATACATTTATTGGTCGAGATTTTATTTCTATTCCAAGTATACGATATTTAGATTGCGAGAGCCAAGAATTGAAAGATATATATTCTGAATACAAAATTGGAATCATTTCCATTGGCTCATGTTCGTCCATACGAATCTGCCTATCAAGCTTCCGTTCGTCAAAAGAGGAGATGGAGGGCCAATTTTCCTTACGTTCTATGTCACAATGAAAGATAAGGTTCAACAATCTGCTTATTTATCGCTTCAATTCTCAGAACGTCCTCCAATTTGTCATGAAGTTTCGTGGATTTTTTTTTGAAATATAATAAAAATAAAATATTCCAGAAAATATTTCTTTACTTTTAGACAGAAATAACTTATTCATGAGTAATTTAAATCTATTATAAAATAAACTGAATAAAATTAATGAATTTACATGCATTTGTGAATTATAAATAAGTAAGAATATATGTGTGCTTAATTCTTTTGTTTTAAATTTTAGATATCACGTTAATTTGAATAATTAATAAATTAATATTTTAAATATTACTATACACATATTATTTGCTTAAATAATTTTTCTATTTTTCGTATATCTAAAATTGTATTTTTATCTCGTCATTATAATATTCATATTTGCATGCTAGAAGAATATCGCTATTCTTTTCCATATAGATAGAAACTGTGTCTGCATGACAATAACTCTAACTTTTTTAAATTCCAAGACGAAGCCAAATAAATCCTCTTAAACGCAATCACCATTTTCACGAGGATATCGATTATGCATGAACGATGTGCAAAAAGTTGTATAAGCCACCGCTTTTTACGTCACGTCGCCGCTAAGTCCCGAAGACTATCCAGAAAGAGGGAAAATAAAAAACGCCGAAGCTCCATTTAAAATTTTAAACGATTAACGCGCAAAGATCTATATAGCTACTTACGAGCGCACTTAAAGGTCAAATATGCGCGATTATTCGCGCGGAATTGTCGGCAAACTTGTTCCGGATATGCGAGAGGAACGCAGGGGGACCGTAACACAAAAGCGTTGTTTCTGTTTGTAATCTCTTTATCAGCACGTGGTTGGCAAGCAGCCAATCGACTTTCTCCTCGACCATAGAGCAGCGACCCTTCCACTTCGATTTGCTCTAACCGCCGTTAAATCGGTTAGAGCATTGACCGGGAAGAGAATAGACGCTTGAACGCACTTGCAATGCACGCGTATATATATATATATATATATGTATCCGTCAGAGACAAGTATCGCATAAACGTGCGAAAACTCCAATTTACGACATAGCAAGTGGTCGGACTCGCAGAGATATGCCGTCACTCTTCGAGTGTAAACCCGTTGTGCGTATCGCTTCCATTAACATAAATAAAGTTAAGTGACATTTGTGGTTGACTCTTTGCCTTTTGTCGTTGTCCCACTTGCCAATAACTGATAAAAAAATGGCGCAAAATAGCGCAATACCATTGGAAACAATTGTAAAAAAATTATTTG